TTATTCACATAAAGACATCACATAAAGGTCACCTATCGAGTTGATTTTGCTCCTCTAATACATAGAATAAAATAAGGCAATCTCATTTAATACGTTTATTTAAGAATTATGTTCTCAAGATTGGAAAACTGGGCTTTCCAGCTTTACACCTAACAGCTTTAATTTAATGTAATGGTGAAAAACTGATCAAAATACTTAAAACTGAAAGTCAAAGCTCATAGTATTTTCCATTTAAATTGTTAGTGGGTATAGCAAGACAAATGTATAATATTTACCCTTGTATTCTGACACATTGTCACTGATTTTAACTAAGCACACAAGACAATCATTCTCATTCCCAGCGCATAACAATGCTTACTGGCAGATTTCAATTCACTCTGTGGCCCTTAGGCATAAATCTTTCTCCAAGCAACTGCTATACCAACACCATAAAACTCCAGATTATGTCATGGGAACATTCCCGCAAAGCACAAAACTTAGCAGTTTTAAAGTTAGGTTGTTTTTTTAAAGTGTTTGATGGATTCATGTGACAGATGAAAATCCTTACAAAAGGAGCTCTTACTACTCATAAGATGCCTCGCAACATGCATAAGGAGGTAGAGGAGGATGGCCATTGGTGGTTGTCATCTGATAATCTCAGTTTGATCCCAATATGACCCTGTGTTTTCTTATTTGACCCAATATTTTCTAAAGTTCATGTTTTGCGTTAGCCTTTGCAAAGTTTAATCTCACAGATCTCCAATAAAACATGAAAAGACTGTGGAATCAAAATGCAGGATGTCTCCTCCTGCAAGATGAGGAGTGGTGGTTTAGAAAGCTAGGGCTTTATTTAAGTAAGCAAAAGGCGCTGCCATGCTAGGAATAAAAATTACAAACTAAACTTAAACAGAAAGAGAAAAACACAGAAAATCACATTTAGAAATCCATTGAATGGCTCGGCACTGAGCAAAGGAAAGCCTGGAGCATCTATACAGAGCCAGGCACGAACAAATGAAGAACAGGTGTGACAGTCTGAGAACTAACGCGAAACAAGAAGGAAAACACAGGAAAATAAAAAAGGAAGTATAGAGACTAGTAAAGAGAAATTGAACTCATGTACAAAAATGAAATAAACTGATAAACCAAAACACAAAAAGACAAATTGTAAGCATTGTAAAATGCTTTTCCCCGAACATCAAGAAGAGAACTGGTTGCTCCCTATTTCCATGGCATACTCATAATTCACCCTTGAAAAACTGATGTGATTTTCCCTCTACGATTTTGCAGCGACTCGTGTCTTGTCAAGTCAATCCAATTTAGAAAATCTAACAAAGCTCCTGGATAAGCGAACAAGGGACTAAAAAGGGAGTGGGTGGAAGGAAAAAAAAAAACTCCTTTAGCATCCACCTCAAAGCCTCAGATCTCAGATAGGTCTCAGATAAAAGTCTTAGCTAGCCTGTGGTTGGAAGGCAACAGGCTCTTCACGTTCAGTTTGGATAGTGTTTCATCAGTTTAGCGGACCAGACCAGAACAATTTGGAAGCATAAATGACTTGAAGAAAAAAAACGTCTCACTCCTCTGTAACAAGCGGGTGACCCAGAGTTTCATTGTGACGACATGAGCTAAAGCCGCTGCAGTGGAGGTTCCTACCCCTGGTACCCGGGGGCCACGGCCATAACAATTCGGCTGACAGCCTCCATACACAAAACAGGAATTGATGCATTTATTTTCCCGCAGTCGCACCATGACAAAACATATTTCCCCTGCCATCCGTATCGCACACATTTATGTATGGGGTTGGACACGACGGACTGCCCCTCCTTTTTCTCCCTCAGCATCCCTCCTTTCTCTCCCCTGCAGCTGTCCATTTGGGCCTCAGTGACAAGCCACATCTGCAGCACTTGCAGCATGTCTGTGTTAAATTAGACAATAGTGTCTCCGCGAAACCATCCCGCAGCAGATTCAAGCCAGCTTGTACCCAGGAGGCTTTTAGAGGGGGGGTGAGCAAAATATTCCTTCACCGTGTCTCTTTTATTTCCTCCTCCCCATCATTAAAACAGGGTGTTCCCATGCATTAGTAAATAGATTTTCTCAGCCTGAAGCTTTTTTGTTCTGTGGTCTTGAATAGCTTACGTTCAGACGTCACATCCATGCTGTCGTTTCGAGTATACCGCGCAGAAAAACAAATAGGGGAAAAAACGCTGTCTACTAATGTAAGTCTGATTTCCATTCAGTGCAATTTCCAGCACTTGTGCCGCAGGGGCAGAATGAGAAGTTTTCTGAACGCTCGCATAACTCCCACGGTCATGTGTTACTTTGAACCCGAGTGACTTGTTTATCAAACACCCCGCATGCTGCCCTTCTTTCCCCAAAAGACCTCCCAAGATGGTGGAGTGTGACGCAAGATGATTTGTTCGGAAAATAAATCAGGAGGCTTTAGAAGCAAGAAAGCGGCAACAAAAGAGGAGTCAGCTCAAATCTTTTCCTAAACAAAAACACATTTCTCATTGGATTTTAATCTCTAACTTTGCCTTCTTCTTCTGATATCAAAGCCATTACAAGCCACTACAAACACTGATAACTACTGTCTTATGAGGAGCTACTCTGAGCTTTTTGAGTGAGGGAACACTGAATGATGCTCAAGTATAAACCAACCTGACAGAAATCTGAAAAAGGTTATAGTCCCTGAAACTCTGCGTCTTCAATAGTGCCTGCATATCGCTGCAACGATCACACTCTCATGCATTTCAATGTATTCCTGTCCTCTGCAATGTAGCTTTATTAATAAATTAGTTCAGAAAGAGTATGTACTCCAGCAGAGAGGATGCGCCGAAAGACACAATAGAAGCGTAGAAAAGCAGGCGGAATATTGTTTGGAAGAAAAAAAGCTCGGTGGGGTGTTGTGTGTATAGGAGGAGGGCTTCTCCACAACTCCCGTCTGCTTGTTTCTTATACAGAAATATTGCTTTCCCATCACAGAACAGACATGCAGAGTTCAGGCAGAGAGCAGGGCGCTGAAGTGCAGAACCGCACGGCTGAAAGGGGAGCAGTGTGAGGGCAGAATAGCGGGATTGTGCGGATCTGTGAAGGATTCATAACGCGCAGTTCCGGGGGGAGATTTGTAGAAATCCCTATTCATTATGGCTGAATGAACACTCATAGGTTGATTAATAAAATTATTCTTCAGAGACATTACAAAGAAAGGTTGATTAGCAAGTCGATAAGGAGCATCGCGTGGGGAGGGATCCAGCCATCCGGCGACATTTTGTGATGCATGGCGTTAGCTTTTCTGAGAAGCCGCTGGAATGATAATAGTGTCGAGGAGGCCCTGGGTGGCTCCACTGCCTCATATCACGCTCAGTCATCTTCACACTCAGTAAAGTCAGCACATTTCTGCTGCCATTAAATTTACTATGGCTCATTTGGGATTGACAGTGCACACCATCAGTGTCATTGTGTGCTGTGTGAGACTCCAGAAAGATTCACTTCTTTAAGCCGGGGACAATCATTATTGCTAAATTCGGTGTTTAATGACGGGCATTTCACGCTCAAAGTTACATATTGTTCACTCTGCCTCACCAAACCTCCAATCACGTCTCACCACAAGTCTGTGCTTCATCTCACAAGAAGATAATTGTTGCCTGCAATGGACATGTGATCAGTTTAGCTTCGCAACTGTCATCCTGTCTCGTATGGCTGACTTACAGGTTGTCACTTCACACGGCTTTTTTTTAGCAATATATGAGACACTGGTCGGAGTGACCTGAAAACAAGGAGCCAACAGATCTCAAGTGGTTTGAGCTGATTTAAAAATGCACAGCAAGGAACATCTCCCTGAGTCGCCCCCAAGGCGAGAAGAGGGTGATGGGAAATTTTAATGAGGTCTCTGTGAAATCAAATGCCTGCAGATTATTTGCAATGTATCAAGATCGTAACTCAATTAAAGTTATTTACCCAAACCAGAGTCATTAGGAATCTTAGAATTGTTTGATGATTTATTTTACTTGTACCTTATTTGCTATTTAAATTTGATATAGTGTTTTGACTTATTTTAATAGAATTTTAAGTTCCCACGCTGCTACAGAAATGTTGCAAACTACTTTTCACTGTTCTTGCTACTGTGAAGAGAAAGGTATTCCGTCATATCAGATTGTCAGATTATGATAATAGATTACCGTTAGGTAATGAATATAGTTCGTAAAATTCTCGATTTTTTGGGGTGGTTTTAAAATAATGCTTAGGTTAGTTTCTTGTCATCGCTCTGTAAATGTATCTCAGTCTCCTTCTGAAACAGAATATCTCATTATATTGTCAAATTTTTTTCAATGAACCATCTTTGAGCTTGCACACAGTTGGTTTGAAGGAGTCTAATTGTCTGAGGCTGTGACGCCGGGACCAGTGCGGGTCACTGAACTGCAGCTGGAGCCAATGTACCCTCAGCTTTGTTATTTTTATCAGCGTAGAAGTGCACCCCCACAATATATCAGCTTCTTCGAGTCACATAATTCAGTGCAGCCTGTGGCTTAACGGATTTAAAATGCGGCACGAGGACTCAAAATCTACTCTGTCTCTGCCCTGTCGGTTGAGCGGAATCCAAAAGAGTTATGGGGAATATACATGTACACAGGCATGTTTGACGTCATCTAAAGCTGCAACTGATTTTCTTTCTTTCTTTCGGCTTTCAAAACAACAGTTGGTTTTTAGGACATCATAGAATTGGTAATCTCAAGACATCTTAGAATTGGTAATCTCTCCCACTTGGTGGGGGAATTGCTTTACTTCTTGAAGGTCTTTCAGACTGCATTTGGCTCACATATTTCCCAAAGCAATTATAGTCGGGGTGAATTTAGTTGTCTCCATGGTGGGCTGTGGGGAATGTGTTTTTTTTCGCTCTTTTTTTTTTTTTTTCTGCCACATGTGTAAGATAGTATATCTCATGGCCAGAAGCACAGCACCCTCTGCTGCCAACGAGAGAAATCTCCCCTGCTGTTTGTGTGTAAAACATTCAGGAGCGCGTACATATGTGTGATACGCGATTGTTACTCTCCCCTTTTTATGTTTCAGGTGTGTGCGATTGCTCAGACTTCACCACCGGGATGACCTGTGAGCAATGCCTGGATGGTTACTACGGCAACGCCTTGATTGGCACCCCTGGTGATTGTCAGCCTTGCCCTTGTCCGGACCGCAGCAGCTGTGTCCAAATTGCTGAGACAGGACAGGTGTTCTGTACCAACTGCCCCGCAGGACAGACAGGTGACACGGGCTTTCAGAAATTAAATGAATAGACGGTAAACAAAGCAGATAATGACCAATATGTCAGGATCAAAACAATGAGAATTATTCCACATGACAGCTTGATGCTGATAAGATCTCGGCCTCAGAGCATCTCACTTTCAGTTGCTGTCATCACACAGCAGAATGCCACCTGTGACTCAGACACATTCAAGATGACTTTTTAATTCAATTATAACAGAATCTGAGTCGCTGCCAAACCGGCCGAAAGTCATTCATCGACATCCCTGCCCAACTTCACCTTTCCTCCCGTGTAGGGATGCGCTGTCAGTTATGTGAAGACGGTTACCATGGTGACCCCCTGGGCCAGCTCGGGACAGCCCGACCATGTGTGAGATGCAACTGTAATGGCAATGCGGATGTCAACGCGGTGGGAATATGCGACCACATCACGGGGCGGTGTTTGAAGTGCCTTGGGCACACAGAGGGTGACCACTGTGAGCGTTGCCAACGGGGTTTCTACGGCAACGCGCTAAGTCCAGCGGCTGACCAGAAGTGCAAGCGTGAGTGACTGAGAGTGGAGTGAAAAGCTATAAATCAATCAAACGAATTATCTATGTTCAGATATCTGAAAATGTATTAGTTACCAGTATAATTCAAGTAAATGTATTCAAAAAAGAGATCCAGGAGATATATCCAAAGAGATATAGCTGTGATTTGCTCATCCTTTGATTTCCATATATCTTTTCCTGGATCTCTTCTTCTCCCCGTGTAGAGTTCCAGATTAATTTATTTGCAGAATAGCATTCCGTTTCTGTTCTGTTGTCTGCCATTTCCACTCATTTTTTTCCCGCAGCGCTCAAATGAGATAAAAACAGAAAAGATGTTCCAGCTGATAAGGTTGCATGTGGAAAACTGAGCCATCAACAATATCTTTTTTTTTAACATTAAATTGGTTTATTTGATTCATCTAGCATGCAGCTGCAGTTCAGCTGGCACCTCTGGGCATGAAAACGAATGCCACCCTCAGACAGGTAATTGCAATTGTCTCAGTCATGTGACCGGACGGGATTGCAGTTACTGTGAAGTCGGCTTCTTCAACCTCCAAGCAGGCATTGGATGCGAAAGGTAAACAATTTCCACTGCGCGTCAAAGATGATCTCCACGATAAGATATAATATTACTCATTACAATATCATTTCGCTGCCTTCCTTAGGTGCAAATGTAATCCAATTGGCTCATCGTCAACGGCATGCCATCCAATCACGGGGGAGTGTTTATGTCGTGCAGGAGTGGAGGGGAGACTGTGTGAATCTTGCCGTGCAGGCTTCTATGGATTCTCCTCACGAGGTTGCAGAGGTACAGTATTTTACCTCAGGCTTCATAACTCCACTATGCCTTCCTCTAATCCCCTAATACAGGTCACCCAAGAAAGCCTTTCTAACTGGAAATTCTATTTAAAAAATGTTTATCTTTTCCCCCCACTCCTCTCCCATCTCTCTATGGTTCTATCTCGTCTCGTCCAGCCTGCAACTGTGACCCAATGGGCTCCGTTTCCATGCAGTGCCACAATAATGGCACATGCCTCTGCCGCCAGGGCTTTGTGGGATACAAGTGCGACAAATGTGAGCTGAATTATTTCCACAACAGAGCCACTCACCAGTGTGAGGAATGCCCAGTTTGCTATGGTCTTGTCAAGAAACAGGTGAGTTGTGCCAGGAACCTGGAACTGCTTGTGCTCCAAATGTTGTGTTCAATTTACCAGTTTTATACTATCCAGACGAGAAGGCGGTGCTTGACTTGGTATCTCCTCATAAATCATAATATAAATTCATTATATTAATAAATAAACAGCACTGACTCTTAAACTTACTTATTTTCTCTGTGCTTCTTTTTTGTTAAACTTTTTTATTTGACTTCAGGTCTGCAGCACTTTTCATTTTGATAAATAGATCAAATGTCACAGGAAAAAAAGGGAAAATATTATTGGAAAACAATCACTCGAAGATTTGTACATGTCTCTATCTGTAGTGGAAAAACTTTATCAAAGATTCAAATGAATCTGAAGGTTCTGAGTTCCTGTATTTTGGGTGGAACATCACACACCCTTCTAGACTGCAAGCATCAACTCCAGCAAAAAAACGTTTGATGGTGTGATGTTTCATCAGTGGCATCGGAAAAGTCATTTGAGATTTTAGAGTAACCATGGTAACAATATACCATTGACCTCTGTGCATGTTTTAATCAGTGCAAAATAAGACAGGGTACGAGCACTGGACTGGCCTGTTTGCATGGAGCTGATAAGACACTAGTTTATAGTGTCTTAAATTAATGGAAAAGTCAAAAGTCGTGTGATAATTTATGCTTTTCCATAGTGTTGTTTTTATAGTGTCGTTGCAGCTCCGTCTGATGCCGAGATTTTAATTCAGATTGATCATCATTTATACAGTCATACATTTCTAAAGTCTCAGAAAACACTGATGAATGGTTGAGTTATGAAATGAAAAGACAAGTTATTTTACAAAGGAATATACATTTGAATTAAGTGCCGGTTTCTATAGCCGTGAATGCATGCCACTCGTATGAATGTGCTTTTGCCCCTACTCTGAATCTACAGTCTTTTCATCTTTACCAGTTTCTTTCTATGTTCACATAAAATTTAGACACATTTCTGCGTTGATCTGTTGGTTGCCACGCTAATTCATAGAAATATGTTCCACACCTACATAGTGTTTGCTTGCTCATGCTATCACAACCTGCATTTTCTTCAAAATGGCACGGCTCCCCTGAGCTTTTCTTTGTAGACCCTCACAACAGCCATACGGCTCCTTTGTATTTTGAGAGTGCAGGCAAACAGTGGATGCACAGTGAAACAGAAAGAGACATTTGCCCTAATGATCTCCTATGCTGCTTCTTTCTGTCCCCTTAGATTTGTTGCAAACCCTGCTTGTACACTAACAGGCTGTGTCCCAGGATTTGCCTTCTGAGGACAATCCAATATCGCAACATGTTCTGTCTTCTTTCTGCACATATTCTTGTCCAAGCTAAAGTGGATGTACGTCCTCTCAAGACCAGATTGCACCTGTATGAAAGCTCGCTTTGATTTCTACGGTGTTAGTATTCCAGTGAACATCCCGAGCCTTGTCTGTTCTGAATACCTGCAATTACTTCGACTGTCCACAGCTTCCCTCCGCCTCTCACACTCCCTATCCTGCAGCTCACATTTTCCTTTTGCTTAAACATTAGAAAGACAAAGAAATAATGGAAAAACACAGGGATACTTTAACATTCAGAATTATCAATTTAAAAATAGGGTAAAAGAAGCAGGAACGTGATAGAATCCTGAAAATGCATTGTAATTATTCAAGGAAGACTAAAGTAGTACATTATAAACAGTATTTCTTTATCTTTTGTAGATAGGTTGTTAGAATCAATGTAATCTATTGGGATCTTAATATGCTGACTAATTCTATATTGATCCTATTGCTGAAATTCATTCATTAATTGCTTTTGAAATCTCCCATTTTGATGTTTTGCTTTATAAAGACTTGCAATCACTACTGCTGGATAAATGAATGTGGTGCTATTGTTTTTTTGTTTGTTGGTTGGATTGTTTGTTTGTTTTTGGGGGGGTTCTTATCCAAGAGCTGCATTTCTTATTGACATGTTCAAATGATGATGCTGTTACAGGCCGAAAAGCTTCAGACTCGCCTACAGGATTTGGAGAAGCTTCTATCTCACTTTGATTGCAGGGGTAGATTTGGGAAGCAGCCCCACCTGCTGAAGAATCACATGGCCCGGCTTTATGAGCATGAGCACCAAAGGGAAGACACTTTTCCCAATGCTCTGGAGGATTTTCTCGCCTTCCAAGGTACAGCAGCCAAAAGCCAAGATAATTCTACTCGGCCTGTCACTCTTTTTTAATGTTTTTTTTCCATGGTCATGACATCTTAAGAAACACATGGCAGCCGTTATGGGGAACATGAAGCTAGCCTATTTTCTATTGTAACTGTTGTGTCACGTTCTGGCTGTGAGATGATAACATGTCGTATCAGTACATAAAAGACCAGCATGCACAGCCAAGAAATTTGATGTGAAGCCACCCCCAGCTGTCTGCAAGGGGGCCGTTGCTCTGTCTGCGTCCCTGCGACGCCGTAACATATACAACACAACAAAGCGATTAAATCAGGAAGCAGGCAACAATACCAACCTCTCCCAATTACTTTAGCGCAATGCTGATATATCCTCATTATCTTTGGAAAGGAACAGGCTTACAGGCTCAGCTGCACTGGCCAAATGGAGACAAATCATAACAATATAGAACAAGGCGCCATGTGACCAAACTTAATCCCTGTTTATGTGACAGGCATTGCATCTCTAATCCCTGGTTTATTGTGATTATAGTTGCAATCATGATAACATTCCACCTTTTAACACCCATATTACATATACACACATTCCAGACGTGCTTTTTGAGACACTAGATGGCACAGTAATGATTTAATGTGCTTTTGGGAGGAACTGGCTCACTGCGTGGGAACACCGTGGCAGAACAATCCATACTGGGCACACACAATCTTATTTTGTAAGACAAAGTGGAAAAGTATGTGACAAATTGAAGCGGCAAAGCAAACATACTGTGCTTTTTTGGTACTCACTCCTAAAGTCACTATACAGTCAAGTTAGATTAAAAGTTCAGAAGCATGCAAAGTGAGTCCTAACAAAGGTGTTACCAATTGGACAGACCGTTACATGGTTTGTGTTTTTCTGACTGCCGACTATTGCTGGACAACAGTCCTTGCATGAATTAACACGATAAATGAGAACAGAGAACAAGCCGTGCTCACAGGCTACAAAGAGTCGAAACAATAACCTTCTTAGCGAAATAATCAGTGAAAGACTTGATGTGGCTTTATTTGCTTTGTTGTTACAGAGGCTCGGGAATCCTTCATAAAACAATTTTCTTTGCTGGAAAATTCGACCGCCACACTTTTAGCCCAGCTCCATGGCATCACATTTATCCTGAACTGCAGCATCATCACAACAGAGGAAGACAGGAAGGACATGAGAATGGATGAAAGAAGTAGAGATGTGTGCCAGACCTTCACAGACACTTTACTGATGATCAGAGCCTCAGAGAAGCAGCTAAAGCAAGCAACACAGGACATGGACAACATGGTGGGTGACTCAGATGTTCCGGAGCCTTTACACTATGTTTGAACAGTTAAGGGTGCAGAAGGGGCTGACTATTAAACTGTCTGTTATTCCCAAGATTTTACACCATGAGTGGGTCAGCAAACAAACGGAAGCAAATGGCACAGACTGTGTAACCTTCTTTGTTTTAAAGATCAGTTTAATTTCTACTTATCTCATGTCGAACTCCACAAAAGGCATTGAAATCTATTAGTGCTACTTCTAAACTGCAATAATGTAATTATGTATGATTATGTATGAAGTGAGGACTATTTGAGTCCTGTTCCATCCTAAATGTGCTCTCTGGAGCTTATTTCTGTTCCAAACTGAGGTAAAAGGTCCAAATAATTATTTTCTTATTTTTTTATAGGAGACATAATTAGTCTTAAATAAAGTGCAGCATTATATACGATTTCTCTAAAAGCGAGTGAACTTCATATTGTTAACGTCAGAAAGGAGGGTGTGGTGTTGTGGAAAACCTGTATTGAAGAGGGTGTCACGGCACCCGAAAACACTTTGGATCCAACTGGATAAGTTGGATCCAAAGCACGATCGGGCAGACCGAAAGTGAGCACAGCATCAGAAAATCAATACATGAAGCCTTGTTCACTGAGAGAAGAGCAAGTTCATCAATATTTTAAAATAAAAGGGCATAAGACTGCAAACAACAGAAGTGTTGTAAAAAAAAAAAAAAAAGTATTCTAGCAGAGGTGTTAGAGAATGAGTAATCCTTTCTAAAACACTTCTCAGGAGGCGAAATGAGGCCAAACACTTGGTAAGACACACCAGCATTCACAGTGGATAACTGAGAAAAAGTCCTCTTTTAGGGTTGATTCTCATTTAGAGGTTTCAGGCAGTTGCAGAAGAGTTTGTGTGAAGAGACAAACAAACAGAGGCACAATAAGACCCCAGTGGATTCTGAGAAAGATTTAGAGTGTGGGTTGGTGAGTGGGGTAAGTCTTTGACACCAGCAATGATTTAACTACACCCTGACCAAGAAGAGGTAGATCTCCACTCCTTAGAGAAACAGGAGTGGGATACAAGATTAAAAAAAAAATCCCATGTGTATTTTGAAGCTTGACACATTGAAAATCAAAGCCAACTAAGAAGTGTTTGCTTTCATGGCAGCTCATTCTCTCCACAAACTGGGCAACATTTGCAATAAAACGTGACTCATTTTAACAGTTTTGATGGTAATAGGATGTTAAAGCTTCAGAGACTAAAGGCTACGCAAGATAAGTCTCATACCAGCAATCTTGTGAAAGATAATTGGTCCTAAAGGTCAGAGGATAAAGGCCTTGCACCAATCCCCTCTGACCTACTTAAAAGAATGAGTGCAAAGTATGTTAAACTAGAACAAAAAATTAGCCTCAGAGGTTCATAAATATTGAAAAAGTTGATTCCTAACACTTCAAGTATGCTCCCTTAATTTTAAATACAAAGAAATAGAACCAGGATCCTGAGAATCTGGGGATGTCAAGATAATGTTGATTTTAACATAGGTGACAAGATGGTCAGATAATGACATCATTGTGTGGCTTTAAAAAAAAAAAAAAAATCCACCCAATGTGCCATAATTAACGTCTTGTTTTTCTTCAGATGAGGGGCTGCTCTTATCTCTGCCTGAAGCTTGAGGCAATCTTAAATGGATGTTATTTAAGTTTTGTGAGCCATGTTACTGGGGTTCTATGTGTGAGATTGTGCGTGCCAATAGAAATATTGTACCCACAGTTCTGAGTGTGCCGGAAGCAGTGGCAAATTTCAAATGAATAAGCAAAGAATGCACTGCAAAACAAGAAATAATGCAAAAATGATCAATTGTCAATTCAGTTTTCACATTTTATTTGCATTTTTCTGAGCCATGGAAGAACACTGTATAAACTGTGTGCACATTATAATAATTAGGACAAAAGCAAATAGGTGTTTATTCCAAATTTTTTTGCTTTCAACATTTTTTATTACATATACTTAAAGCTTCGTGACAGGGACGTTATTATTTCAAAAACTTGCCCAAGAACCAATCAGACCCAAGTTTTGGAAAAGAGTCATCTTTTTTTCATCTAATGAACTGCTGCCATATATTTTTTCATGCTGGTTAAAATTCTCCGCAAGCAGCGCTGTGTCTTCATTAAAATAGAAAAAATCACGGAGTGTGAAAAATACTTTAAGTATTTTAGGGATTAATTAAAGCTGACAGTAGATTGAAGTCCTACAAGGCCAGACCTTTTTTCATTTTTGCATACTCGCTCACTACGTGCTTTCCCTCTCTGCCATTTTCAACAGATCATTCCTTTTGAAGCTATGTCAGTGCCTAACAAATGGAACATTATGGTCAATGACTCACAGCTTCTAATGAAAAGGTAAGTCTCATCAAAGAGCTTTTAGCCACCAATTAAAAAGCACGGACCACTCTGGTAATCTGTGGATATCTGCTGGCCTTTCTTTTTTTTTGGGCTTGTCACTTACAATGTGGTTAGACCACTGTGAATCGATGCTCTCGGCTGCACAGCTCTATTATGTGGTAGTTCCAGAAACCTGACCAGGAGAGCTGGTGAGGGGAAGGCATCAATGCTGAAATCTATTTCACCTCTCCTCAGGCAGTTGTAATGGTCTATTATTCTATGTTACGTGCTTTTTTTCCCCCTCTTTTCACTTTGTCTACCTTTTTCTCTACCCCCTTGCAGTCACACAGAAACGGCCGAGCATATTGAGGCCATTGCCAGCAGGGCGGTACAAGTCTCCAAGCAGACTTTCAGCTTCCTGATGGATCTACTTCAGGACAACTCGACAGAGGAGTTCATCAGGAATCTAACACAGCGGTAAGAGGAAAAAAGTATGCAAACACCCACAAAGACAAACACGAGCAAAAAAGATGCTCATGCGAATGTTGTTTTTCACTTAAAGCGTGCTTTGTTGCAAAATTCCATTGAGTTGCTCAACTCCATGGATTATCATTCTTTGCTAGTATATTTCTTACAAAGTCCACCCATCCCTGTATTATAACTCAAGGTCCTGTTCTTTGCCATCGCCTTTTAAAGCCCCTTGGAGCCAAGGAGTAAGACATTTAGCCACAGGGGGACAGCTTCCCTCCACTGTAAGCCTATTGCTTTCTTGGATTTGCAGCACGCTCGCTGCATCTCCTAGCGTGTGATTGCTATGAGGATTATCCTGAATGCTAGACAGAATGATGCAAAAAGCCCTCCGGTGGCCATGATGAGAGCAAGAGGCAAGGACCTCAAAATTGATTACCCCCCTCTAACAGTAGTCAGCTTGATTCAGGGGAGTTCTGTTCATCTTCGAAGCCATGCTGCACATCAGTGTGTGCGCATCACTTTGTGGGATGCAAAGTGAGCAGTTTATGCACAGATGGGTGGCATTAAATTGCATTTCCACCTCATATTTCCCCATGTGTTTGTACTTAAGAAGATCAGAGCCATTATATAGGGAGGGAACTATTCAGTCATAAAATAAGCAAAGTACTTGACCTGTTTCTAACTGTAGGACTGTGTAACTTGGTCTAACCAGGCCTGTATTTTTAGATATCCATCTTTTTGCTTAACATCAATGTGTTCATCTTCTGCTAGCAAAAGAATATAATACTTCCCAGATACCATTGTCTGTCTTTTTTCAAGTTTGTCGGTATATTTACTTTGATTGTCTACCACAGCAAAAGGCTCTTTACATATATCATCAATTCGATTGTTTCTGAGAAAAGGGTTTTACAAGGGGAACAATAAAAAAGATTTAAAACATACAGTGTCTGAATAAGGACGCTAATGTCAGATGTGACAGATAAGATATTAAATTATATTCACATGTACAATATGTAATGTATAGAGGGAATAAGGGATTTAAATTGTATTTACTGAATGAGTCTTTAATGCAGCAGCACTATAGATGGCTCAAAATAACTGCAGAGAGAAACTGCATGTCTGTTCTGCCTGCGTGTGATTTCCACAGAAAAAAGGGAGTGACCCTAAATGTGATGTTTTTCCTTTCATTTTTTTTCTTTCTCTTAGTGTATGCTCTGATGAGGCAAAACAGATTGGTTTCCATTACCGCTCTGGAGCTGATAAAAATGGCAATTTAAGTTTTACAGCCCTCAGCTTTTTTTTTTTTTTGTGCCACTACCGTGCAAAAAACGGCATTAATTAATTATGCTCTATTCATGTGTCTCTTTTCTTCTCTTCCTTCAAAGAAAAACACTGTTGTAAGACTTATAGTGATGTTATTCATTAGAGTGAAATCACTGACTGATTTGATGGTTTTAAGAGAGGCATCAATGACCCGTCAAACACAAGAATCTCAGTTACTAACTTAAATCATTAAAAAGTCAGATGTCAGAGATATATTTGTACTGTATTTAGTGAATTTGCTTATTCATTGTAGTCATTGACTATCATCTCTCACTTTGTATTGTCTTTCTTTCTCTGTATTTTATGTCAGAATAACACAAATGCAGCAGAGGAAGATGAACCTGACTGTGCTTCTGAACAATACCGTAGCTGAACAGCTGACCCTCGAGGACGAAGACGCTGGTTTAAATTTTGCCCTTAGCAACATCACATCATCCTTACATCAGCTCAGTTCAACACGCCCAATAGGAGTCAGAACATCAAGTGCTGACCAAGCATTCCCCAATATGGAGGTCAGTGGAGACAGACTGTCTGTACAACTTGAAACCTTGCCCAGCCGACCACCTTGTGACTACTTCTTCCAATTTTACAGGTGTCATAGCTGTTGAGATTGAAATTTATGGTTAATTTAGGTTGGCTAACAGAGATTAAATCGTATCATATTGTTCTAGAGTTTGATGTTATCTGCATTTCGCTGTGCCTCGGCAACAGCGATGGGCATAATGAGGTTCTCTTTCAGTCCATCTGCCCGTCTCATTCATACCTCCGGAGCTCCTGGAGCTAATTTAATTACATAATACACAAACATTCACATGGACGCAGTGATGGAGAGCTTGTAATTAAGCGGTCAATGTCAATGTGAGCTCTAAATACATATATGTTCCAGACTTAGTATTTCAATGTCACAACCCTCCAAACAATAACAAAGTGATGATTATGTTCTCCAAAAAAGCTTGTCTGAGAGAACATGTTGTTTCAAAGGGCATTGATCAAATATACAGCATTTTCTAAGCAACAAACTATATGTATAATGATACCTACAGAGATTGTCGTGAATGGCCACATGGAGGTTTTACAAAAGTGTGACCATAAAAAAACCTTTCTTCAGTTAAAATCTGTGTTCTGTGTGTTGCTGCTTCTTATCTAGTGGGGTGAGAATCTTATTAAGGAGACAGAGGAGCTGGGCCAACAAATTCAAACCAAAGACAATCTCATCAATAAGATCATAGAGGAGATGGAGACTACAACACAGACAGCCAATAAGAACTTGGAGAAAGTGGATGATATCAACAAGGTAATGATCAAAGTGAATGTTTTATGCAAAAGCTTTTAGCCTTATTAGCAGCATCCGTTTAGTCCTGCTTTGGTTTATAATAAAGATTCAACCTCTGATTTATGACAAATGTCTCCAGGTTTTGTGAATTCAGCTTACTATTTCTTTCTAAGTTTTGTCTAATTTGCATGCACAGTACAGGTTTATGGATGCAGAGGCAACACAATGCATAAAAACCTTTCTCCCTGGAATTTGAGCCCCTCTAACATCCCAGTTAAATTTCTCACATATACAACCTTTTTCTTGCCATGAAAAGGTAGACAACACCTATTATCCCTGAGCTGAACACATTGTGCTTTTTTTTTTTTTTACCTCAGACAACTGTGAAAGTGTGTATGGGCTAATGACAGACCAGAATCATCTCTGGTGTCTGTCATCTTAGTGGGACACACAATGAAGCATTTTCGGTTTCGATATAAAAGGTCTGGCCTATAACCTGCAGCACTTCTGTCTTTTTTAACATTTGTTTGACAGACATTTTGAGTCCATCTCATAATCCTGAACTTAAAACAGTTCAATGTTCCACTTAAATCAGTACAGTTTGTACACTTTCAAGTGTAAAAAAAACAGCATTGGTCAAGTTGGATTTGGCAGATTGGACGAAGGTCATTACACTTCACAAATTCACAGCTCACACTAATACATCCACAGCTACATAATACATTTTCTTAAACCTTGGGATGCTGCATCATAAGTTTGGCGTAACAGATCCAGTGGCCTGGCTGTTTGGTTTTCAATGACTGTGCTTTCTTCGCAACGTTCTTCGTATATAGAGAGATCACCATGTTTTCCTGTCTTTATAAAGCTCCAGGAGCAGGCTCAAGAGGCAAACGCTGTGGCTTTGTCATCTGTGGTAATGGGGAAAGCGGTGGAATCAGAAGCCCTCGCCTTGCACCGACAACTGGAAGGCAAGCCTTTTTTTATATCTGTCTATCTAACTATATTGTTTTTCTTTAATTTCCAACAGTCATTTAACTTAAATTGAAATGTCAAGTACTGAAATTAAAAAGTCATCTGGCCTTCACATAGCTAGTATTACTATAATAGGTATGTCATTACTGTTATAATAGTTTTATATATTCTCTGTCTATTTACTGCAGCGTTGGTGAGAATGTAATGACATGAAAAGTTTTGAAATTCTCGCTTCAAGCTTCACGGCTGAAATAATATCTATTATTACTCATAAAGTCGATCTTAATTGAATTTGTCTGCTTGGAATTTCACATGAAGCATACTGAGGTCAAAATAGACTCCATAGAGGATCCGTTCTCATAACAAAATTTCAGCAAGTGGACAATAATCCGTCCTTCAGGCGTCTGGCACAACTTTGATCCCGTTTTAAGTGTTTTTCAATGTCTTCGACTCAGACATGGTGACAGAGTGGCCCCGCCAGCAGGTCAGGACCAAGGCCGCATTGAAGAAAGAAAGACCCCTGCAGGATAAGGTTTTAGCTGATGTCAGGAAGACGGTCTCACAGATTGAAAATATGTTAGAACCAGCAGTGGCAAACTCCAGCCTCATAAGCAACACCACAGAGGAAGCAGAGAAAATGGCCCATAATGTGGCAAAGGTAAATGCTTGCTTACTTATAAATAAGCCACTTAAATCCAAACAAAATATGTGGGCTATATCTGAATTGCATTGATTTATTTTTTTTTCCATTACCACCATGTGTTGTGATAGTCAGTGTGGGAACAGAAGATCAGGAGAGTCTTTAAGTTACAGTGAAGCAGTTGGTAGTGCTGTTTTAGATTGAATATACCTGTTTATGTATTTGAAAATTTGTATTTTTGGGGGGTTTAGTAACAAAATATATTAGATTAAATATTTTAAGTGTAATTCAAACATGTTTGTGTCCTCATTGTTATACCAATGTACAGAGCTATAAAACAGTTAACTGTCATTCATGGCTCCTTCGTCTGGATTATGAGATCAGGGGGTGTAGGATTAAATCAATAAAAAAGAGGCTCAGAGGCTGTCTTAGAATTTTTTTTAAATTTTGGTCGAACCTCATTTATGCACAACCAACGTTTCTCTCAGTCTGTATGTTCGTGCTTAAAAAGAATGAATACAGATCAACTCAGGAGGCAAGCATAGTAAACAGCATCGTGTTGTTAGCACGTTAAGATACACTGTGGATTTAAGAACATCTCCCTGCCGGCTTTTGGTCTTTTTTTGCATTCATATATATAGGTAATCAGCTTACTTCAAGCAGTTGAGAATGAATTGTCTGTCGGTTGTTCGTTGTTGTGCCATTCTTCTTTTTCTCGCGCAGAAATCCAAAGCTGCTTTGACCCAAGCCAAACATACCAGGACTGCATCAGCTCACCTAAACACGCACATAGACGCCGCTCTACAACAGCTGTCTGAGCAGGAGCTACTGACTGGGAAAGCAAAGTCCCAAACCACTTCAGAGGTACGTTTTAAGCAATTTGATGAAAACCAAGTCAATCAATCAGGAGTGAAACTGAAATGGAGTTTATTTGTTCACCACAGCGATACTGAGATTTGTTTTATAATATGACCAAAATTGAGCGCAACAGGTCCTATAAGATTTAGTTGATTCAACTCGGCTGGTAATCATCGGGTCCTTGGACTTCATGGCATGAACCGTCATGCTGACAATGCTGCAGGTCAAACATCGTTCCTTATCGTAGCCACATTTATCCCTGATGGCAGCAGTGTCCTCTGTCAGGAAGAGGGCACATCACAACAAACAGGCTGGAAACACCTTGAGCAACACAAAGTTGACTTGACTCACCCTTCTTACTCACCAGATTATTCTCCAGTTAAACACCCTGCACCACATGGCCCAACAGCCTGGCCCCTGACATTACCAGACACCCCTGGAGCTCCCATGTCCATTAAAGGACTGATTCTAGTCATGACAGCACAACGGGAACCTAAAGAACACCAGACAGGCAGCATTGACGATGTGGCTCGGGTTTTGACACCGTCGGGACGGGAATCTCATTCTTCAATCCATAACTCATGACTCATGAGTGAGCTCATGACTTCAAATGTTTTAAAAAAGTACAGCTGAGAAAGCCTTTTCTCATCTGAATTTCAGACTCTCTGTGTAACTTTCCAAACTCACATTTCTAAGAAATATTAAGTATTCATTAAGTGAAATTTTCTTTCACCAAGTTATTTTTGAGCGGCAGAATCAATGTATATTGATTATTTCTCCCTTTGTGCTGCTTAAAAGAATGCTTCTCTTGACATTTCTTTTTAAACCTAGCCCGAGGTGTCCCTGACCAGCATCAAGGAAGACGTGGAAGCAGCCAAGCTCCAGCTAGAGGCCTACTCTCTCACACTAACCCAGCTGATCAGTAAAATTGGTAAGTCTCTGGCTGATTGTCACCGTAGCTGCTTTTTAGCTCCCACAGCCTACACGACCTATTCATCTTCATTTTGCCTTAAATGTCAGCTCACCTAAGAGTTCCGGTCTTTTTAATGCCTCATTTGATATGAAAATATTTCCGAGGCTTCTATCCAGACAGTAAAACAAGAATAACTGCTGTTCACAAACCAGGTGGGGATGGATTTAAGTACATTAAAATGAGTCAGCTATGTATTTCTTGCCTTGAATTATACGTCTTAATAATCTAAACTGAATCGTGTATTCTAAAAGATACTATTTGTAAGATTAACTAGAAAAAGACAGAGATTCTTTGCTTTGTGATCAGTATGTTAATATGCCTGAGAGGATAATGGCCAAATCATTGTAATTAGGTCATTTTACAGGCTGACACTCTATTTGAATCACTAATGCAGGGGAGGGCATCGATGGACCACTGTTTGAAAAAAAAACGATCTTTAAAGTCACACCCTGTGATTTTCTTTTCCCTCTCCATCTGTCCCCTCTCTCTTGCATGTTGGGACCAGATGGGAGCGTGCCACTAGAGCGATTTGATCGGATCTTGAACGAGACGGCGCGGCGTCTGAGCATGCTGCGAGGGAGTGTGGAGAGCCCGGCGCTGGGCACGAAGATCCAGAAGCTGAACTCAGCCGCTGAGGAACAGCAGAGCCGCCTGTCCCTCATCGAACAGGACATACGGGAGATCACAGAGGAGAGAGACAGTCTCAGGGACATTGCCTCAAACCTGCCCGAGTCCTGCCCGCAGGCTGCAGGAGCAGCTGGACCCTAGGAACTGGAAATGAGGATTGCATCATTGGTAAAAAAAAAAAAATGTTTTAAAACATCTGAAAAGTCTGGGAGCATTTATTTAAATAAAAGGAGCATTGGTCATTTTTTTTTCCGTTCAGTTTTAAAAAGTCAGTGACATTTCCTTATTTGCTCCCTCTATTCACTATTTACCCATAGACACAATTCGTTTTTACCACCAATTTCATTGGCAACCAAAAGCCTCTGAGCTCCCCTCTGTCTCCTCTGAGTAATATCTGATCCCCCTTCCTCTGCCTTAATGATTTTCTTACTCTCTCTCTCTCTGTATTTGATTTTACCTGTCTCTTTTTTTTTTTAAATCAAAATCATCTGAACTTAAGCATCACCATGAATATAAAACAGCCTCGGAACTTCTTGTGTCCACTGTCAAGTTTAGAATAAATGCTGATTTTCCTTTGTGGGGTCAGAAGGTGAGCTTGAGTGGTCCTTAAAACTGACACATCCATTCACAACTAAAGCTTTCTTCCATCAGCTTGGCTTAATAAACAATTAGTCATCTTGGCCTCGGCAGGGTTCAGGTCAGGCTTCAACAGGGTTCAAGTGGTGCCTACCTCTCTGTTATTGTAGTTTGTTCATATTTTCCTGTCTTGCTGTGCTGCTAATTCTATTGTCTCGGGATCAAGAATGGTGACAACCTTGCTACCGGTCACCAAAGTATTAGAGCAGAGTTTTTCCAAATCTATGTATAACTTCACAGGTCTTTTCATTCCATATCTGGTCCCATTGTACTGGTTTTCATGAAGGCTGATCATCATGATCATATGAATATGATCAACTTCCTATACTTTGCTCTATATGTCTTGAATATCATAAGCCATCACATAGAAACTATTACACCATGAAATATACTTGAAATAGTCATTCTGCTCAGTCTGTCGTGTTGTAGTCAACGTTAGTGTGCACAAAGCGTAATGAAAGGTATCAATGCACAACCAAAATGGAAGCGGTGCTCATAGCAGATAAAAAGTATAAAACTGTAAATGGACCGTATCAAGGAACCCAATAAAATTTAATCTGGGGAAAATATTTGGGCTGTTTGTGGATTTTTCTATGTTCTGAATGAGTTTAATCTTTGAAACACCAGTAGTAAAACACTGCTGTCTGGTATAAAAGCCACATAAGGCCAAATAGCTGTCAGATCTAAAAAAAAATCTACAGAATTGTAATTTAGGATTCTTCTGTGAATCATGAAGGCAGAATATTCATCCGTCCTTCACAGGGATAAATGCAGCTCTGGTTTAGGATTCATTTTTAGCCGGTTTTGCTACTAAGTGGAGATGAGTGTCATTATCATATGAAAATGAAATGCATGACAGATGAAACAGGAGAAGGTGCACAGATGGACTCATTAGAGTCATTTCTTCACTACAATATGCATTCAGTAATTGATATTTCAGATAATGTTGCTTGTGTTAGCTAATTTGTGTTAGCTCATTTCAGCAGGCCTTATATCATTGCAAAGTTTTTTTTAAGATAGATTTCTATGAATTTTCAGTGAAAGAGGAATAGAAGAAAGGAATCAAAAGACAAGAGGCAGCTGTGTTTGTCACAGAGAATCACGCAAAACTTCAGAGTTTGCTGCCATTCAGAGAAAGTTCAAATAGAAAAATGGCATCATGGGAAGAATCATCCTGCTGTGATCCCACTTTTTTTTCTCCAGAGTGACTGATTCTCCCAAAGCTTCTCTCGCATATTATGTGCATCCATAAACATTCCTCCTTAGAAAGAAAAAAAGGTTGAATGTTGAGCCTGGGAATGTGAGCACATGGCTCATAGTTGCCGTGGAAAGATAAGATTGTTTTTCGCATTTTATCTAAATGTCTTCATCCAGCATCTAAAGCCACATAAGTTATGATTAATCTAATCTACATTCAAATTACCAAACTGAAAACTATTATCCTATTTAGTGCAATATTGTAGTTTAAAATTGTTTTGAACTTACAAAAAAAGAAAGTAAATCCACAAGAACCGACACAAATTGTCTGCCGTGGTGTGAGCAGGCACGTAAAATCCTCAGCATAAAAGATGCTTTCCAACTCATCCCCTGCATTGCCTGCTTTGCTTCTTCAGGGACACCAATAAGTGAACCACCAAGCAAAACATCTTCACTCTAAAACCCGAAGTCCTGCTCTGCCTCACGGGCTTTTGGAGAGAAAACAGAATTCAAAAGCTATTCCTTACCCCTTTTATTTGCCTTGGCATCAAGCGATCACACAGCAGGTGAGCGCACTGTAAGTACGGTGCACAAATTAAATAGGATCATAACAAGGAGAAAAATAAATGTCGGATATATCACAGACAAAGAGTTTGTAAAAAAAATAATAACAAAAGCACTAATAGCTGCATAAGGATGGGCGCTGGGTGTCTGACATAGCTTTTGAAATGGGAAAAACATGCTAATACTCTCGTTTCTCTGGGCATAAATACATTGTGATTTGTATTTAACAGTGTCTGGAATGTTGTCTGGGTTCCTTTAATGCTTTTTCATACTCAGGAATTTAATAAAAACATTATATTATGCCTCATTTTCTATTACACCGCACTGCACCTGCACTCAACACATGCCACAGTAAATCACCCACATTTAATTATCATCTGCCGCACAAATTCTGTGCCAGATGTTTTTGTGCGGGAGCTGACTGAACCTGTGGCTGACATGAGGGTGATTATGTTTAGTCTAACTAAAACACTAATTCTTCTGTGCCTAAGTCGTCTGGTCAATATTCATTGTAGCAAAGTCAGGGGGAAACATGTTAAAAGTTGGTCGGCTCTCACGCGGACAGCAAGTGGGATCAGTCAAGATGAAACTTGAAAGAAAAGGCATTTTGCATGATGAAATAATTGCAAACTCATTTACAGACACATCACACGCCACCATTTTCCATACGTTTCTTCCCTTTCCTTTCTAAGAGAGAGATATTTTGGGCCTCATTGGGGATTTAAGGCCTTAAATGGAACCGGGATGAACTTTGGTGATATAATTGTGCATGTGTTCCGCAGAGTATAAAAATATATTTTTTAAAAGAGCTGGCAGATGAGGGATTTAGATCAGTGTAGCAAAAACAAGTATGTTGTGGTAAACAAGACTTGATACCAAGAAGATTCCACGGGGAAAAAGCAAAAAAAAAAAACAAAGGCCGCCTTAAGCGAACACGAGGGATAAATGTGTATGTAAAATGTGTCTGCAATAAAAAAACAATAACATCAGACGCATTTCTTTCACCTGGGGCAGCAATTATGCAGTGGTCGTTCTCTAAAAATAATCAGATTTCTAAATCTGACAGTTTTGCTTGATCTTCAATTACTTGGCTCTTCGAGAATTTATTTGGATTTGGTTTGATATCTACACAGTTAAACATAATGAAACACAGATTTGTTGTAACTGTTTTTTTTATCGTTTGGCTTTCAGCAAGGGATTCAGAAAATGTAGAAAACCTATTTTTGTATTGTAATTCTGTCCAAAACCATCTTAATTCAATCCAATCGAATCCTATTTATTTATTGAGCACACATTTTAGATGGACACAGGGATCCCAACATTGTTGCACAGAAAGATAAAAACGCACAACCAAAGCACAATGAAACAATAAACACAAAAATATAGTAGGGGGAAAAAAGTAATATGGGAAGAGTTTTGAAATCCAAGTGGTGTTAACTCGCACCTACATATGATAAGTTGCTTATTTTGTAAAATGATGCTGCGATAATCAATAACTGATTTCTCCCTTTTTTTTCATCATGATTGGAACTTGTTCCTCCTACATTTTATTTTTTACTCACTTTTCATTTGATCTTTTAGTTTTTCTGATTTAAATGTGATTTGCTGTCTACTGACCTTGTTTTTTCCATCCCTTTTTCCTGATGTGTTTGTCTTATTTTGTGCAAAATCGTCCTCATTTATGATTTTCTTGAAGCATTCCTGCGGTCTTGGCATTACATTTATTCCTGCAGAGTACCACGCTAACTGAAGGAAGGCATATTCTGGATCGGTTTTATAATAGATCTTTTACACAACATCTTCTGAAATCAATTAGATCGTGAATTCAATTGGATATTGGCCTTGTTATCTACTTCATGTTCGAGCTACATTCTATCACATATTTTCTTGGCACATCAGTTATTAATTATCTTCATACAGTTACAAAATAATTCATTTCACCAAAAGCAGGGTTACATGTCAGGGATGTCACTGGACAAATAACGTGTTTTTCTTCACTTAAAAGCCTTCAAGCTAATAGAACTTGCCCTTGTATGAAAGACACCTGACTTTTGAGCTGTCTCAGAGGTGGCATAGCTTTTTATAGTTACACCTCAACAACGCCTTCTGTGCTTGAAAATTAATTCAAAGCGCCTGCTCTCAGCTGTGGTGTACCATGTTCAACACATAGGCCTATTATCATGTATATATTTAAAACTGATGTTGGATTGTTTTCCAAAGTACCAAAGGACTCTGACGCATGAGTGCACCTGGGCAAGTCATCCCAGAAAGTTGCTTACCCTATTACCCAACATTCATTTACTATTGACACGGTGCATTTAGTCACTCGACATCTTAAAATGAGGACATGGTAAGGAATAAGTGATCATCATATTAGGTCTACTGAAGCACACTTATGTGGAGGGTGTACACCTTTGTCATTCCTCTACTTGAGTGTGCCTGCATTTCCATAATTTCAAGGTTTACTTGTGTTTTAACAACCAAGCCACTAGTCTTTTGGCTTGTTTTCATGAGTTGGGTTTCTGTTTTCTTTTCCAAGATCTGGATAATTTGTTCACAATATACAGAAAAAGCCTGAAATATAAAAGAAAAACATCTAAAAATGACAATAAGACAAAGGCTCAGAATCATCCTGGTTGTAAAAGTCTGTCATTTCAGCTGCAATCAAAACTAAAAGCCTTTTACAGCTGTCAGACCAGGACCAGACTAGAACCAGCACCAGGACCAGGATCAGGATCAGAACT